GCTTTAAAAGCCAGGAGAGGAGGCTGGGGTAGCTTTGGACTGAGGCAAGAGTGGCACTTCGGGAGGGGAAGGGGACAAAGCAATGTTTTACGAGCCATGTAGAGACTCAGTCTCTTGGCTGACTGCTGGTCCTGGGAGTGAGTTGGAACTGAGATCTCAAGAGAAGAACAGCCAAGGGCCAAGAGTGGTCCTGCTGTGTGCAGTGTTGCTGGGACTGGGTAGTAGTCTTCTGCAGAACATTTAAGAGAAATGCTTGTTGTCAGTAATAGAATTTGCAAGCCCTTGGAGAAACCCGAGTCATGTAGGATTTAGGTAATTTGTTTCTCTTGAATGGGGTAGAGGAGTGGCACAACAAGTCAGGTGTGGTGACCCTGTCCAACACCCCCTGCCACTCCCCCCGACAACATGCACTCCTCATTGGCTGAGATGATTTTGGAAGCTGGCTTAGGCATAAGTTTGGAAATGCTTTCATCCTGAAAAGCCATGGAGAGCAAGGGCCAGGTGACCCCAGGATCAAGCTCCAGAGGTCTTGAGGTGCACCCACCAGAATTAGGACAAAGTAGACAAATGAGCCACCAGTGAGATGAGGGTAGGGAAAGAGTAGCCTCAGCTTGACAGCTGTGACAGCTGTAGAACCCACCCAGCACAGAGCCCTGTCACCTGAGGGGCACACAGGCTTCCTTTGGGTGTGGAGAAATAGCCATCTGTGGGCAGGTGTTGCTGGAGATGGAGAGGGAGTAGGAGGAGAGGAACAGGTAAGCCACTAACCACATGGGCAGCCCACCCTGGGTCCGCAGTTAGGCTTTACGGCTGGCTTTGTCTATAAGGAGCAGGCAAACTATTCTCAATTTTGCTCTAGACCCGAATCCTCTCATGGTTCATATTTTGGAAAGAATTCTGGGGATTTCCCAGTGTGCTGCTGAGTTGGGGCTGGAGAAATCCACCTCGGGAACCATGCTGTCATCTTCATCCCTGTAGGTACTTTGCTCTGAAGAGGGAAGGTTTATCTGAGATGTGTTGTTTCATCCAAAAACCTGATAAAAACAGGATGTTTCTGCTGGTTATATCAGAAACTTTGCCTTTTATCAGTTTTGAGAATTCTCACTCACTGTAGGAAGAGCTTGGAGATTTTCCTGTGTGCAGAAAGTATGGTGCACCGGGGAATGGGTGGTTCTTGAGTTTAGAGCTTTGTTGGTTGTGACCTGCCCACTTGTGTTGGGTGCTTTATAACAGTTATGAGTAAGGTTGTGCATGAGCTGGTGATTGGCAAGAAAAGAAGTCCACACATGCTCACCCACCTGAGCCAAAGGTTTTTCAACTTCTCCTCCCCAAAACAGATGCTGTCGCCGCACTTGAAATATGCTGTTATGGTTATAAACTAAATTGCTTTTTCACTCTTTAAAAATGGTTTTGGCATTCTCTGATCCTGTTGCGATAAAGGCGTGGCCATCCAGCCTGTATTTTCCCCTAGCAAATCCTCAGAAATGCCTCTCTGAACCAGAGGACTGGGTCAGGAATGCCTCCCCACTCCCACAGACCACCGTCAAAATTCCCAAGGCTTGACTGGGCTCCTTAGCACGTGGAATTTATCTGAATCTTTCTAAATATTGGGTTACTGATGGCTGAACATGGAGTTGCCAGCTCTTTGGTTTGTACACCGCTGCTGTAAAGGGCGGGTGTTTATAAACAGGGGACTTTAGATTGAAACCTGGTGTGGGAAATGGCCTGGAGAGGGGAGAGGTGGAGGGAGATCCATGCTACTGAAAAAGGAAAAAGTCACCTAGTTACATCGCTGAGCAGTTGTCTAAGCAGGAGGGATTTTCCTGATTATATGCCAAAGTCTTCTGGTTTGGCTGTTACTCTGGGCAGAGAATACAGCTCCTTTGAAAGAACAGGCACAGACCCCAAACAGAGTCTAGGGTTACTGACGATCCCCTGAGGGTGCTCTTTTGGGAAAAGCCGACAATAAGGGTGTCACCTTCTAACTTTTTTAGCTTGCCTAACACTCTTTGGAGTCAGGACACTCTGTGCCCCTAGATCTTTGGAGTGGACCCTGCCAGAATCAGCTTCTCACGGATCTCCCACTATCCACACTCTCTCTTAGCCTGTTAGGCTCTAGGTGAGCACATTCATTCTAACAATGGCAACCTAGGGCTGTGTTAAGGAATTCCATCCTATGTCATTTGGGTGTCCCTCTTCTGTCATTCTCAGGTCATTGTTCCCCTTGGGTCAGGCAGTGGGGTGACAATGGTCTACCAATTGTTCCTTCAGAGACCTTTCCAAATAATCTGGGAGCCATTCATCCTAGCCCAGGGAATGTTCAGGGCTAGAGTCTGTTTCTCCCTCTCTGAAACTCAGGTTCCAGAACATTGCCTATTCAACTCTTGGACCTGGCTTGGCATGAAGCTGGGCCAGAGGGCGGTACTGCCCACTGCATCTCCATACCTTTGCAGCTGTTTGGTGGTTAGGGCTGTTGGTCTCGTGGCAAACAGACAGGACAAGTTGGAGAGTTAAGAAAAAGACTTCTATCCACACAAGAATGGGAGAAACAAGGACAGGGAACTCGCCTTCTGTGGCCTGAACCTATCAGATTGGGCCCACAAATAGCAGACCAATGCACCAGTTTCTGTCGGAGAAGCCTTGCTTACCTGTCTTTTCCCGGAGACAGTCCCCTACTGTGAGGTTGCCCATCATCAGAATAACATTTGAAACAGGCGTGATGGTTGAAATTCTCATTCCCTAAAATGAGCTAGAGTTGTCCTCCTGAAAAGCCTCTTTTTGTTTTTGTAGTTGTTTTAGCCTGGGCTTCCTGGCCCTCAGTCCTGTTGGTCTGACTGTCTCCCCGTTGGCTGGTTCTGTGGGTGTTCAAGCTACAAAAGGGGTTTCTGGTGATAGCAATGGCTGGTCGCCCTGCCTTCCTACCTCAGCTGGCGGCTCTCGAGAAGAGGCAGACAGGAGGCATTGGGCCTGACAACAGCTCCAGGTGCATTTCACAAGGTGATGCAAAGAAGAAAAGAGAGGAGAGGGAAAACCCAAAATAAATAAATAAATAGTGTCCCAACTGTTCTGAGAACTCAATAAAACAATCACATCGAATATGAAGCGGCATAAATCTTGTGTCTGCACAGGTAACCTACTCAATTGCTTTTATTATCGCTCAGGCTGCCTCCATTTATTACTGTTCATGGCCTGGGCAAAGGAGGCTGCATGGAGGGTGGTCTCCAGTGCAATCCTACACCCTGAGAGGCAACAATCAGCCCATACAGCCAGGGATTTCGATGGGAGCCCAGGAAGGGCCCATCTGTCTGCATGAAAACCAATCAATAACTCTGTAACCAGAGCCCTTGTCACAGGGAAATGGACAACACAACAGTTCAATAGAGGGGCCACAGGGGGAATTAGCCAAGTGGAGATGGGGCCAAACAGGAGCAGACCTTAGAGAAGGGAAACAGGGGTGCCTGGAATAGGGGAGATTAGGGAGGGAGTGGGGATGTGGCAGGGGAGAGCAATAGCTTCATATGCATGTTGGTATTAGATGGGGAGTATTGTGCAACATAGACCCAGGGAATGAGAGGCAATGTTGGAAGTTGAGGTGGTAGGGAACATGTGTTTTAGGCAGCATTTGGGAAATGGACTTGTTCTGGTGCACATGGGATAGTGTGACTATGCATGATGGTATGTGCTTGCGGACTAGAATGTTATAGCTTCTACAGAAAGAGGAACAATAATAGTAACTGGTGTGGAAGATTAATCACACTTCCCACCCACTAACACCCTCTCTGAAAAGGGGTTTTCCTATGATCCCACATGGGATAGAGGTCCTGCTTCCCAGTCTTCTTAGTAGGACTGATGAGGGAGCCCTATTGTTGGCTCCCAGCTTCTTAGGTGTCCAACAATAGCTACTCTGCAGGTTGCCTCTTAATACTCAGGTCTATCTTCAGCCCCCTCCTTGTGTCTACCTGGAATTGGAGTTTTTATATTGAGAGGAAAACGATGGTGTAAAAGTGATGTGCATTCAGTAGAAATCATACTTCAAGTACCCAAACAACCATTCTGTTTTTCACTTTCAGTACAGTATTCAATAAATTACATGAGATATCCAACACTTTGATATAAAATAGTCTTTGTGTTAGATGAGTTTGGCCAACTGTAAATGTTTTGAGCATGTTTAAGGTAGGCTGGGCTGACCTATGACGTTCCATAGATCAGATGTATTCAATGCATTTTCAATGCACAATATTTTCTTTTTTTTTTTTTTTTTTTTTTTTTGAGACGGAGTCTGGCTCTGTCGCCCAGGCTGGAGTGCAGTGGCCGGATTTCAGCTCACTGCAAGCTCCGCCTCCCGGGTTCATGCCATTCTCCTGGCTCAGCCTCCCGAGTAGCTGGGACTACAGGCGCCCGCCACCTCGCCCGGCTAGTTTTTTTTTGTATTTTAGTAGAGACGGGGTTTCACTGTGTTAGCCAGGATGGTCTCGATCTCCTGACCTCGTGATCCGCCCGTCTCGGCCTCCCAAAGTGCTGGGATTACAGGCTTGAGCCACCGCGCCCGGCCAATGCACAATATTTTCAATGCACAATATTATCGAGCCATTGCCTTATTGTAAGTTAAGGAGCATCTGTACGCTGAAAAGAATTTCTTTTTCACTTCCTGTTCTTTAAAAGAATGTGGTATAAAGGGTGCTCATCCGACCTACCAATTCTCTGCATCCCTGCTGTTTCTTCTTACACTTCCCCCATCCCTCCAAGCCAGGTGTCCAGAGCTTAGATTCTTGCAGGGGAAGCAGCTTCAGGTGCAGCTATGCCCACTGCAGCTCCCCAGCCATGCAGGTGAGTCTAGAGAAGGGGAAAGGGCTCCTGAAACTGAGGAGTAGGAAATAGAGTCTCACAACCAATGCCCAAATAGCAAGTGAAATATTAGACAGCTGAAAAATTAAATCACGTTTGGCTTTTCTATCTACCACTGAACTACTAGGTTGAGATGGTTTTCTCTTGTGGAGCAGGCTATTTGTTTTGGGGCTAGCAAGGCATGGCTTGAATATATTCATGATGGTTTGCAGTGTAGAAGTTGATATCTTCTGTGTGTGTGGATTTGTGTGTGTTTGTGGGTGCCTACCTAAGTCTGCTTTTAAGTGAAAAGGCTCTGAGGCCAAGAGGAGAAAAGGGAGGAAGACTCACAGGACATGACCTGCAGTCACAGGCAAGGCTGGACACCTTGTACTTGTACTGGACACCTTGTAATTGGCAAGCAGTCATTAGGCCACTGGGCGAGGTGGCAGCAGCAATAAGGCTAGGCTGAAGATTCCTCATTTCATAATCTAGGCAAATTGGAGCCTCATTTTTCTTCAGTTATTTGCATTGTAACACTCTGTAGTCCAGTTAACCCCCGATAAGAGGGGCTTTGCTACAGTGATGCCACCTTTGTGATGAAGAGCTGTGCAACCAGCTGTCCATCCTCACTTTGACACTTGGGTCCCAGCCTTGTTGGAAGGATTAGTTAGGGACCAACTGCATAAGCAGCCAAGAAGATGCTCTTCCCAGCACAACCCTTCTCCAGAGCTGTGGTCCCGCCGTAGGAGGCATGGCAGCAGCACTGGGACACAACGGCGGGCAGAGCTCACACCAGGGCCAGCCTGCAAGTCTTTCCTCAGTAATCCAGGTGCAAGGAGCATAGGGAAGAGGCTTACTGTTTGTGAGAAATGCAGAGCTGGCCACTGCAGAAGGCTTGGGGTGTAGGTGAGACATGATGTCAGAGGCAGCCGCCTCAGACCACCTGAGGAGGGCTGGGCACAGGAGAGGTGTTGAGGGTATGGGAAGCTAAGGAAGAATGGTCTGGCCCTACAGGAGAGGGAGCAGCCTCTTGTAGGCTGGGAACTCTCAGGTAAGAGAGGAAGTGTGCAGGAAAGAGTAGACAGACAAGGCTGTAGAGCCAGGGTCCCCTCACGGCACATCCGCGACAACCATGGGAGGAATGAAGCCCTTTCTTCTGCTTTCTGAGAGACAATATAATGAGAACAGATTCTGTGTCTTCCAAGAGAGAAGGAAAGAGAGAGAAAGAGAGCAGGGCAGGAGGAGTGAGTCAGGTGCCATTCTATTCTAGAAAAGTTCAGATTTATTGTAGGGATGTTGGGGAAAGGAAAGCAGTGCACAGAAGTCCAGACTGGGGTTTGCCGAAAGCAATGATGGAGATGGGATGGTTCCAGGAATCATGAGCACAAATGACTCCTGGGCACCAGCGGAGAGAGGTTCCAGAATATAAGATGAAAAGTGGCGAGAACTGGACAAGCAGCTGGAGCACATGGGCCCAGTCTACAGGCAGTGATGTAGGAAGACTGGATTTTTAAAAACTCTGTGCTGACCGAATAAAACACATCTTTGGGCCTGATTCCGTCCAGTGGCCAGCATTCAGCAGCCTTTGGTGGACCTGACTGGATGGACTTACCTCTCTGCCTTAGACCAGGGCAGTAACATCCGTGCAAGTGGAAGGGGCTGGGACATTTGCTGGGTCCCTTGGTCCAGAAGCTCCTGGGGAAGGGAATGGAGGAGAGATTATGACTCTCTATAGCCAGAGGAGGAGAGGTGGGGTATGCGTAGGGAGGGGCAGAAAGTGAGGATGAGGACTGGGAGAATAAGGCAGGAAGCAATGAAGCTGAGAGGTGGAAGGGCGCTGCCTTGGGCTGGACAGGGTTGTTCGGGATTGGAGCACATGGCTGAACAGAATGTAGCACTGCAGAGCCTGCAAGGGGAGCTTAGATCTGCTCATCCAAGCTGGGACCTTCGGTAGCCCTGCAAGGTCTTGGGGGTGGTGGGAGGAAGCCCAAGCTCCAGGCAGCTGGTAGTACAGGCTGATGGGCCCCAAGGAGAGGCCCAGAGGTGATGAAGGAGAAAGGGGAAGAGGAAGGTGAGCAGGTTTCTGAGAAGAGTGTGGAGCGAAGGAAATGGCATGGGAGGGAAAGCGGCCTGGCTGGAGTTATGCAGCCCTTTCTGAGAGGGAACCTCGTGAGTCTGCCACACGGCCTGGCTGTAGCTCCTCTCGGCAGGCTGTGAGGTAGGGCAGCAGTGGCTCCAGCCTGGTCCCTGGCAGGCTGGAGAGGGAGAGTTGTAGAGCAGCCAAAAGGGAGGGAGGGAGGCCCCTGCCTGCTGGGGGTTCCAGATTCTAGAGCTGTCTCCACCCAGAGCCTTTGGCCGAGTTGCTCTGGACTTCCTCCTCTGCCTGCCGTCAGTCCTTCCTGAACCACAGATTTCTCTCTGCTGCCACTTGGAAACAGAGCAAGCCAGGAACAGGACCCATGGCTCCTGGCAGGGCTGAGGCAGGGCAGCAGGCTGGGAGGACAACTGTGTTCACCCTGTAGGCACAGTAGAGTCAAGCAATCAGAGAGGAAGGATTGAAGAGGACTGGGAGAGAGGGGAGCAGACAGAAAGGGAGAACAAAAGCGGCCCCTGAGCATGAGCAAATGGGAGTGAGCCCTGGGGGCTGCTCTTCCTGGTCCTGGTGCTCCCTCTTGGCTTTGGGGTCTTTGCTCAGCCCAACTGCCCAGCCCATACCTGGCAGGCAGGTGATAGAAGCTGAAAGGCATGAGGATTCTGCAGGCAGCTTCTGGCCTGCTGGACATGGAGGCAGTCAGGAAGGAGACACTCATATCGCCCCTTAGTCCAGAAGCTTTCATCCTAATTTTGAAGGTCAAGCAGTGGTGCCTGCCTTAGCGTGTTGTCCCAAGAGAAGTTAGTGATGTGTTGGGAGCCTCTGTGCACGGCTCTGCTTTGGAAAGACTATGTGTGCTGGTGGTGTCTAGCTAAGCCTGCCTTCTATGCCCTGGGAAGCTGTCTAAATGGCTCTGGCTCCCAGGGAGCTCTCGAAAGGAGTCAGTCTTGTCAAACTGGGAATTGGTGGTTTGCTATTCAGAAGGCTTCCGGCTAAAGGGATTGTTTGGTCCCAGAATGAAAGTCCCTGCTATCACTGCCTGTTTGGGATGCTAGTGAATGTTCCCTGGAGAGTACATGGTTGAAGGGACAGTAGACATCCTGATGGGTCAATGAGCAGGGGTCCTGAAAGATACACACAAGGCCCCGACACATCTGGTCTGTGTGCATGCACATGTTTGGGGATGTGAACGCTTGTGAGCAGTGTGCATTTGCTCTGCTAGATGAGTGAACCAAGCTGTGTATGATGGCCAGGGTGGAGGGTGCGTGTAGTATCGCACTAGGAGAACTGGAAGCACTTGTTTCGTGTGTGTCTGCTGACGTCCTCAAAGGGAGCATGTGTTTAGGCAGAGACAAAGATCAAGATAGTTACCTCCTTTTATCATTTGCAGAGTGGATACCACACTCCCTTCCCCTAGTACCTTACTTTTCTTCCTCTTTCTCCTCCTCTTCGTTCCTCAGGTTAGCTGGTTTGGGTTAGGGGGCCAATCTCAGAAGACTCTAATTAAAGAGTGAGGAGAATCTGATAAGATAAGGAAGGCCATCTTTCCTCTAGGAACCAATGGAGGTTTCATGTTCCCCACTCCCCGCTGCTTCCCCGAGGAGCTGACACTAGGGCAGGCAGCCTTCCGACTGTGACTGTCTGGAGTCTGGGGGAGCCAGAGAGAAGGAGGTATGACCGGGGTTGGGACTCGGGTTCCTTACCCCATTTGCAATGGTCCTGGAAGGGAAACCCTAGCAGACTCCGGATGAGAGTGAGGGGAGGGTAGAAGAGACACGGCAGAAGACGGGAAGAGAGAAGTGGGAGCCAGATGTGATCAACACAGACATGCCCCGCTAAGGCCTAGTTTTTGGCCACAGAAATGGACTGTACAGGGTGGGGTACAATTGTGAATTGTGTGGTATCTTTTTTTTTTTTTTTTAATTAGGGAGGGGGCTATGAAGTCATTTAGCCCGTCTTTGGGGCTGAGCACTTAGCTCCTGCACAGGGTACAGCCCTGGTTAGGTTTCAGCTCCTCCTAGAAACAATGCTCACCGGCACTCTCGACCCTCTGCCCTCCCACCCAGCACATGTACTTTTCTTCTTCCCCCACCCTCATTTCCCCTGAACTTGGCTCTGTGGATCAGGTCACTCCTGGCCCCGTGGAGACAACCAGGAAGGCCATGCAGACTCCCTTAGGAGATGACCTCCCAGGGTGGGTACAAAAAAAGTTGAGAGAAATTCATTTCATGGCCAGTGGCTGCTTAGAAAAGGCGATTCCAGCATCCGAATGTGATAAATGTTAACTGAGCATTAATCGCATTAAAGAGGGCCCTATAAACTTTTCATTTCTAATTAAATTCGTCCAGTGATGCTGCCCAAGCGAGTACTCTGGGCCTTTGTTTATGTGGAAAATTAAAATGCAAATACAATGGGATTTATTTCCAGGAGTGGAGTGATGGTCTGGCCCCTCTGGCTACTGGTCTCCAGGCCTGTCAGGTCAGGTGACTGCTTCTTTGGAGGTGCTGTCCCCCTGGTGACAGATTCTTGTGTGAAGGGAGAGGCCAGAGTTCAAGGTCAAATAGAGTTAGTAAATGGGGAGAAGATGTGGAAAGAATTGAAGAGAAGGAGAAAAAGGCAATAGATTACTAGAAATATAGGGAGTCATTGTTCTGGTTTCCCACCCTCCTTCCCCACCAGCTCACACTTCTAGGAGTATAACCCCCAAAACCGTAATTGTGAATATCACCACAAGCCTCCTCTGCAGCTATGAGATGAAGGGGTACATGGGAGAGAGAATTTGGAGGAAGCAGCCCTGCCAGGCTCGGCATGATGGCTCACACCTATAATCCTAGCACTTTGGGAGGCTGAGGCAGGAGGATCACTTGAGCCCAGGAGTTTGAGACCAGATTGGGCAACATAGTGAGGCCCATCTCTATTTAAAAAAAAAAAAAAAAAAAAAAGAACTAAGTGGCCATCAGGAAGGGTCAAGGGCCTGGATTTATCTCCAGCAGTTTGAGGGTCAGCTGCCGTCCACATTAGGGTTTCACTGGGCTCTTCCTGCCAGTGCCAAGTGGCATTGACATGGGGCAGTGAAGCATAGAGGCACAAACCGAGGAGAACATTGTGCATGCGCGCCTGCACGCACGCAGCCTTCTTGCACATAAGGAGAGCCAGTTTCTCATAAGAATAAACAAATGTCCCTTGCAAGGAGTCCTTTAGTGCCATGATCTCTTTGATAAAAGTGGTAATCCTAAATGCTACTGAATGGAACAATCTAAAGTTCCTATTTACTAAAAACATAAATTAAATCGAGGGGAGAGAAAACCTGCATAAGAAAAATTAGTTGGATATATCAGTTAGAGACACTGAAAGATAGCTATGCTGCTTTCTGGATAAGGAAGTTGTAAATAGCATTAAAAAGTCAAGCAGGAAAGGAAATGGAGGTAGGAGAAATGATAAAAGACAGAGCACTAAATCACAAATAGGGGTACATGTACAAAGTCACAAACCGGCTTTATGCCAAGCTTTGCAGAATCCACAGCTTGGACTGACAATACATAGTGATGTTAAATGCACAGGCACGCAGGCTTCCAGAGAGTGTCAGTATGCAGAGGGTGGACTGGTCGCACCATGGGCAAGCTGTTGTCTGTGCTGGACTCTGGGATTGATCCATCGGTTCCTCCATGCAGGGATCTGATTGGGTACAGGTCAGTAGGCAGTCGAGGATACAGCTGTATGAGGTTTTTAAAGGTCTTTAAACACATGAGTCTCTTGTGAGCTGGATCCACCTTCTAATGGATCTCCAAGGTAGCAACCCATTCCCAGAACACTGCCTGCTTGACTGGTTTTGTCAAATAGCTGCTACCTCTCTCCTGTTTTGTCTGTTTTATTCTGGGCTATTCTTTTCCTTTTTAGTGTTCACTTATGCCTCTTGGAAATGCATGAGCACTTGCTGACAAACAGGTTAATGACTGTGGCAACTCCCAAACATCTGGATGGAAACCAAAACTTTAGTCAATCATCTATAAAGGTTGTCGATATGATGCCAAAGATCTGGCGATTTAGAAATGTCCACATAATTGATTGAATTTCTCAGTTTTTCATCCAGGCACAGAATCAACACATTGGGAAACACCTGTTTTCAGAGAAAAATATTCCAGGAAACAAAGTGTTTTGGTTAGAAAACATCTTTGATGTGTTTGAGTCTGATTTCTGGCTTGAAAGGAGGCTGGGCTGGGCTCTAAGTCAAGTGGAGATCTGGTGGTTAGAGTTGTTAGTATTGGAACGAGCACAGCTGGTGAGAGGTTTCCTTCCCCGAAAGTCGGGGCCAGGAGGGCAGGTCCCTTTGTCCAGAAGCTTAGGCTGTCTGTTAGGCCTGGTTTCTCTAAGGGACTCCACTTTGCCATTTTAAGGGAGACTGTCAGGTTCTTAATACATGTGACTTTTTCTTCATTTATCTTTTCATTCATCCATTCAGAAGCAAGTAGGTGCTTAGCAAACACCTACTATGTGCCAGGCAATTCACATAAAGCTATGTGGCATAGTGTTAGAAAGCAGGCTCTGGGGAGAAACTGCCAGAGTTTGAAGCTGGCTTCCCTACTCACTGGCTAGAGGGTACTGGGTCCATCTCATATCCTCTCTGGTCCCCAGTTTCTTCACTCATATAATGTGGCAGATAATCATGTAGGTCTCTCATAAGTTCTCGTGAGGGTTAAATGAGTGAGTCCACATAAACCTGCTTAGAATTGCACCTGGCAAGTATTAAGTGCTCAATAAATGCTAGTTATTATTATTGCAGTAGTAATCATCAAGTCTGTATTTCTTGTTATGTGTCTGTTTCAGTGTGTATGCATTCTGCTTTGTGTATACACACACACTGAAATTTTTTTTTTTTTTTTTTTTTTTGAGATGGAGTCTAGCTCTGTCGCCCAGGCTGGAGTGCAGTGGCGTGATCTCGGCTCATTGCAACCATTGCCTCCCGGGTTCAAGCAATTCTCTGCCTCAGCTTCCCGAGTAGCTGGGATCACAGGCACCCGCCACCACGCCCGGCCGATTTTTGTATTTTTAGTAAAGACAGGGTTTTACCGTCTTGGCCAGGCTGGTCTTGAACTCCTGACCTCAGGTAATCCGCCTGCCTTGGCCTCCCAAAGTGCTGGGATTACAGGCGTGAGCCACCATGCCCGGCTGAAATATTTTTAAGTAAAAAAGTTTGAAGAGCCAAAAGGATATTCTGTGAACAGAATTGTGTATCATGAATGCCAGTGAGAATCGTAGTCTCTCGTGAGCCCAGATGGATTTAGAAAGAGGACCCACTCAGTGTGTTTCCAGAAAAAAAGACCCTCTATGATTCAGTAATCTGACCATTGAGCAGAATTTAGTCAGATAATTGTCCCTTTGTCAACTTTGAGAGCCCAGCCCTTGTGTGTGTGTGTGTGTGTGTGTGTACTTCATATAACTGCACACTCCTTCTCTTGGATGAGCCCATTATTGCTTGAGGAATTGAAAGTTAGCATTTTCTGGGCTTCATGGCATTTTTGTAGGTTGTGGCGCTTTGCATTTTGTAGGTTTTTTAAAAGATAAAATGAAATGGTAGTGGGGAAAAATCCTTATTTGATGCATTTGAAGTGTTCCACTGGTTCTTAAATGTCATAGAGGGGAGAGGAAAGGGAGGTAAACAGGAAGAGGACGGGAAGAGAGGAAAGAAATGGAGATAAGACAAAGGAAGAAGAAAGAGGAAAGGGAGAAGTGAGCATATATTTAACAAATTCAAACCAAATCTGTCTATTCTTGTCTGGCATGTCTGGATATTCTAAGGAAGCATGGGAGTTTGACAATCATTGCAGTTATTTCCATTGCTAAGGAGTAAAATTTTTTAAGAAAAAAATTTCAGGAAAAAATTACTTTGGGCTTAATCTATTTGATGCAATGGCTCCAACTAACTGGACAACTGCAAATTCTATTTATTCTTTGCCTGACAAGAGTAAAGATGAAAACCAATGTTTCCCAAACTCCCAACTCCCAAAGATGTGTTTCTCATCTTTATGGGAACTTTCATGGAACAAGACTGAGGTGCGATCCCATTCTTGCCTCAAGTTCTCCCTGCCCCCTTGGCTTAGTTAGGTGACCAAGTTCAGCTCAATGGCCATAAGACCCACACCCAAATACCTAAACAGTTGCTTATCTGATACCTTTTATACCTTTTGCATCGTTCTCAAATTCATAGATTTCATTATTCCTCATTTATGCCTATTAGCTGGTAAAGGTTCTGATTTTAAAATTAGAAAGTAAATGTTTTTAATGAACAAAATTAGAATCCTGAAAGCTCAATCATCCTTACATTTTTCTTGTAGTATGAAACAAGTCAAGGGTTGCCTATTCATTACCGGATGCAGGGCCAGATGCTGCCCTCTGTGTGGGCATGGGCAGTGGTGAGCTCTGTAAACCCCCAGCCCCTGCCACTGCCCAGATGGCAGAGAGAGAACTACCCTCTGCCCCTGTGCTACTTGGCTGCAATTTTTGCACTTCTCTGCTTAAAACACACACACACACACACACACCTTAATTTGTCTTAGGATTTTATGTACACTAGCACATATGTGTACATGTTTATACACATACATAGGTCAACCTTATGGCTGCTTTACTCAGAAAGCCTTTATATTTATCATCATTATCATCATCGTAGTGGTTAGCAAGTGCTCACTACAGTAGGAACTATTATAAGCATGTTACATGCATTAATTGATTTAAGCATCCTAAACAACCCCATAGGGCTTTATAGGATTGTTATAGATGAGGTAGCTGGAGTACAGATAAGTTAAATAACTTGCTCAAGGTCACAGGCTAAGTAGCAGAAGTAGGATTTGAACCCATGCAGTCCTGGCTCAAAACCCACATGCTTATCCCCTATGTCATACTTCATATCTACTTTGGATCAAGGGAAGTGCAGGCATAGGCAATCTCTTGGGGAACTCTGTATATTTTGCAGTCTCTTACAAGCTCAAAACAGGGACCCTGCACCCTAGCAGATGGTCACACCTCTGTGTATCTCTGTAGTCTTCCATGGTGTGTGTTCCTCAGTGCAAGTCACTGCTGAGCCACGTCATCTGGAGATACTGGGAAGGAAGAAGATGCTAATGGCTAGAGCCACAGAGTAGAGTGGAATGGGGATTCTTAGAACTAGAGTTTATGCTGCTGTTCCCATTGGGATTGGGAAGTTTGCCCCCATCCATCCTCTTCTAACTGCAGCAAGGATCTGGACTCTCAATTGGCATAAGGTTAGGTCTAGGGGCTTAACTCTCCAAATCAGGCAGACCTGTTCTCGTTTGGTAAAGTCATAACTATTCAGCAGAGCAGGGACATTTGCTTCCAAGAAGAAAAGAATCGTATTTTTGGTCATCAAGAAGATATTTGTCCTGCATCTCTAGAATCTTCCTTCTGAAAAGCAGCAGTGCAAATGACCAGGCCAGAGTAAGCTAAAAGAGCTAAAGGATGGATCCTCTCACCCACAACCGCACCAAGAAGGCAATTAAAGCAATTACCGAATCGTACACCACCACCCAGATCCAGCATCGTTACTCAACCCACATCACCAAGGAGACATCCATTAACCTAATCTCTAAGACATACATTAGGGAAAAAAGATGCTGATATGATCAATGAACACAATAATTCAAAGCAGAAACACAGACACTGCCACCAAACAATACTCACATTCCTCCAACTCAGTGTTACACAAAGTGCAGCCACCTCAATACAATACCACAAAACACCAAGTAACAAACATTAAGCCAGCTGCCGGAATGCGTCAACACAATGCAACAATACAAGATAATGCGAAACACAATTCAAACTCTGCATCCCATAGGCACACCCATACCCACAGGCTGAAATCATGTGGCCACTTGAGCCACGTGGGCAGGCACACACAGAGACAGAGCCAGTAACGCAGCACCCAATTCTCCTGCACACCCAGCAGAAAACGATCGCAGCTGCAGTCCTCCCAAGCACAATGCAGCCTGCCAGAAAGCAGCAGCACCATGCCGTTTCTCCAGCAGGTGTATGTGTCCAGACCATCACCTCTAATAAGGCCTCTGGGCTCTCATTGCTAGTAAGAGAGTAAACTGTCCCCTGAGCCTGCTTCCTGAGACAGGACAATTCAGTTCTATCTTGGTTGGGATTTAATAAGACTTCACTGTTACTGAAAATGACAGAGCTCCAGGGATAAAGGGAAAGGTGGTGGTGGGAGGAGAGCTCACCAAGCTGGGTGCAGGAATCCCCCTTCCTCTACCCAGCCCTACCTTCTGTGGCCATTCCAGAGCCAAAGCCCTCTTGCTGGGTGTTCACGGAGTATCGATTCAGTCTGCAAGCAATTTTAATATTTCTTCAGGGACTTTCCAGCAACAGCACAAGTCATTAATTCACCCTCCCAAATTGCTTATTCAATAGCAGGAACATGGCTCCTGAATAAAGTCCCAGAATTTATGTGACTCGCACGAGTCAGGAGGTCAAACAACTGTTATGGAGCGAAGTTAAAAATCCAAATAAAATATTGACACTTTTTTGGGGAGGGGGAGGGGGGGAAGCAAAGGTATTTAAAATAGGTTTTTGTTGCAATGCCCCCAGGATAAAGAATGGAAGGAGACTGAAGACAAGTTGGAGTTTATAAAATCAATGGAATTTATTGCACAGCTACTTGGCATTTAATAATTCTCTCATTTCCACATCCCCCTCCCCCACCCCATCCTGGCCATAGACAGAGAGATACACAGGTATACAAATGCACATTTATGTACATCAATACTGGTGCATGGACCAATATAAAAACATGATTGTGATGTGAAAATCTCAAACACCCCGGGAAGGGAACAGTGATGGTGTAGTCTCGCTGTAGTTTACATATTTGACAGAAATGGGCATAACTTGGCAGGTATTCATGAAGTAGGTTTTGATAAATATATCCACTATTATAAATCTTAGATCAATGCATTGGAGCAGACCTGAATATAAAGATACACTAATCATAGAAATGGATCCTCAAAACAGAAATTGAGAAACATCTATATGTAGTATCATCATGCAATCATGTACATGATTTGGAAACTAGATAGGTGAAAATAATTTGGAAAATTTGCCCCCCAAACCTACCAGTGCATATAAAATTCACTGAAGCCTATAGCCACTTAATCTA